TGATTTACATAAGTTCTTCCATACGGCTACGCGCATACATTTTTCAGAATCTTAAACCCAATAAGTAAAATAATTTCTAGAAGGGACACTAAACAATTATGAAGGTTGAAAAAGGTTGCAAAGGTTAGTTGGTAGGGTTAAAAAAAAGTGTCTATAATTTGGGAAACTATAGATAATAAGAAAGGCGAATCACTTGAATATGATGAGATCATATCATATGAGATGAGAGTGTGTATATATCTCATATGAAGCATGTGGTGTTTGGCCGTGTTGACAAGTAATCGAAGGGGAGGTGTGGACTATGACCAAGATTTAATTGCAATCATTCATCTACTTGATAAGTGTTAAAACACCATTTGTTTTGAAGACGAGCTCTTCATCGGTTTTAAGAATGTCAAGTTTTTTTCTAATAATAATACACGCGTTAGTACCTCAACACACATCAGAACAGATATTTTATTTATTTCTTTCTTTCAGTGTGGAGGTAGGGCAGAATATATATAAGAAGGCTGCAGCTTATACACGCTTACCTCAAGACTGCAAAGACTTTGAGTCTCTAGTGTAACAGAGACGTTTTACATCAACAAGTCAAGAATATAACGTCCTCCTCCAGAAGTCTACAACTTAGACATCTAGAAAGAGAGCCCACAGGGCCATTATTATTTACTCTAAATTATCTGAAAGAACCTTCTCACCTAAACCTAACCAAAATTTCCTCTCTCTCTCTCTCTCTCACAATTATTTTGAAAAGGAATAAACTCAAATGACTAGTGACTAACTAGAAAATAGAGAGTGAGTTGGATTGTCACTTCATGAAATGTAACACTTGCACGCTGAGCCTCTCATTGAGTTTCTAAAATCTTTTTACCTTCTGCTTCTGCTTCTGGATTTAGATTTCTGTGAGTATATGGGCTTTCTCATATTCTATTTTCCAGGCAGCCCAATGTTAGTGGCCTGTCACAAACTAGACTACCTGGAAGAACCCATACTCTCGCTCAAGATGGGCTATGTTTGCTTACATGCCCTACAAGTTGGGCCTTTTTTAAAGTGCCTTTGGAAGAGTTGATTGATGTTATGTCTTTTAAACTTTTCAAAAGCACTTTTACTAAAACCATGAGAAGAAGTGCTTCTCAAACAGTGTCAAAACAATCTCAACATTTTCAGTGCTTAGAAAATTCTTGTGAAGCCCAAAGTTTTGATGAAGTTTCTGATTTTACAAAAAAGAAAAAAGAGTTTTGGTGAGAAACGGTTTTCATTTATCTACCTACCAAAAGCAGTCACGCTTAAATTGCCCATAACATCTACGACAACAACCGAGACGTCGTCTAGTAATTGCGTCCTCCCTTGAGAAAGTGAAAGCCCAGCCAGAGTCAACCAAGTCAAAAGAAGTCAAGTTCCAAAGTTTCGGAACCGCGCGACGTCGACGTTTTACTAGGACACGTCCGTCATTTAAAAAAAACCGCCGTACAAAACCGGTATCCGAAACGCTCGTAATAAAGCCCAGTCGCACATTAATCGCTTTCCCATTTTGCAGTTAAAAAGGGAGGTTTGCTGGGTTGGTATTTTTCCGCTTGCTGCTCTCTGCTGCGCTTAAAACAAACCAACCGAACCCCTAACCAACCAACAACCCCCTCCCTCCCCATGACAGTCCCAAACGACGCCGTCTCCAAACAAGCCGACGACCGCCCTGCCGAGTCCGAACTCGTCCGCGGCACCGAGGCCGAGTTGATCGAACTCGGCGACGCCACCGAGTTGAACGAGGCCGCGCTGTCGAGCGGGAAAGTCAGGGGCCCGTGGTCGCCCGAGGAGGACGCGGTGCTGAGTCGGCTGGTCAGCAAGTTCGGGGCCAGGAATTGGAGCCTGATCGCCCGAGGAATTCCCGGTCGCTCTGGGAAGTCGTGCCGGCTCCGATGGTGTAATCAGCTCGACCCCTGCGTCAAGCGCAAACCCTTCTCTGGTAATTTAATCACCGCCACCACCACCATTATCGCTCTAAGCTTTGCTCTTTATGCATATGTTTATTTGTGTTTGGAATATTGGTTTGGGTTTTGTTGTACGTTATTTGTCGATTTTGTTTGTATTTGAATATCTTTGATGGAGAGACAGTTATAGAGTTTTGAATTGGGATGATTAATCAAAATCAAGTGGAAATTTACCTGAGTGTTTCGTCCTGCTTGCTTTGCAATCAACTTCCAGTAAATGTATGTTGTATACAAATTTGCAACTTGCAATTTCGGAATGGTTTCGAACTGTTTATAAACTAGCTTATCGGTTTTTGGTTACTTGCATTTGTGGAAATGCTTAGTGTTTTAATCAAAGTACAAGTATAAAGTTTTTAGAAACTTAGAGATGGTTTTAAGTAGCACAGGAAGGGAGATGGGGTTGATGAATATAATTTGGTAACTGAGTTTAGTGCATTCCTGTGTGCTTGTTTTTATCTTTACTGCACAAAATGTAGCATTAACATGGAGAAGTAAGATAAATGTATGTGGGTTAACTTCATTTTTTGTTGTTTGAGAGAGAGAGCCATTGAGATTTTGCATCTTGTTGGTTCTTGATGATTGAGGTTCTGTTTTATTTCTTCCATCTATAATGCCCTTGTCCCTCTTTTCTTTTTCTAAAATATTGCCATTGAGTCAGTCAGATTAGTGAATGAAATAGCTGAAAGTTTTGTACTTGAAAACTTCATGGTCTTGTTTTTGCTTGGTTTGGTTTTGTTGCAATGACACAAAGAGAAAGAGGCTAAATGAAAATGATAGTAGCATACTCTTCCATCCACTGTTGCACACTTATTTTCTTTTTCTGAAGTCTTTCCTGTGTAACTCTGTTTACTGCAGAAGAAGAAGATCATATTATAGTTTCAGCCCATGCTATCCATGGTAACAAATGGGCAGCAATTGCAAGGCTCCTTCCAGGTAGAACAGATAATGCAATAAAAAATCATTGGAATTCTACACTAAGGCGCAAGTGCATTGATAGAGGAAAATTCAAACCGGAACCTGACATGATGGAAGATGCCAGCTTTGACAGAACAAAGGCATCTTCAGAAGAAACCCTGTCAGTTGGGAATATTAGTTCATTCAAGACTCCTGAAGGAAGAGAGGTCTTGATGGACAATAGACTGGACCAGCTAGATGAAAGAGTTCAAGCAAAGGAGGGTTGTGGTGTTGCCGAATCAAACTACCATTCTACTCTTCTTGCCGGATCAAGAGGCCATCCTACTCTTCTTGGCGAATCAAAAGAGCAGTCATCCCTTTGTCGTCCAGTGGCACGTGTTAGTGCTTTTAGTGTTTATGACCCTCCGAGTGGTCTGGCAAATACCTCTACATTTTCAAGGATAGTCCCAAGTCATGGTCCTTTGGTCCAAACTTGTAAACCAGATTTTGGCTTCGGCAACTTCCTTGAAGGTGTTTGTAATGAGCCTATGGTTCCTCTGCGTTGTGGCCACGGTTGCTGTGATCCGAGCGAGGGGCATTCTCAAAGCTCGCTATTGGGGCCTGAGTTTGTCGAGTATGACGAGCCTCCCTCTTTTTCTAGCCATGAATTAATCTCCATCGCAACAGATTTGAACAAGATTGCGTGGATTAAGAGTGGCCTTGAGAATAATGGGACCAGGATAACAGAGAATGCTGCAAGCCAGAGAGTCTCTCAAGGGGCCACTACTACCTTGCAAATGGGATTATCAGTACACAACTCGACGAATGACCAAATGCGCTACGAGGAAGGACGTAACAAGTTGATGGGAATGATGACAGAAGTGCTCTCAACCCAGGTGCCTAGACAAACTTTCGCAATGCCAACTGAAGTTGAGGGATTAAGCTAGAACTCATGGCTGGTGTTCCTTATTTTGGGGGTATTAAATTATGGCAGTATAATTTATGTAATATAGGAACACGTTGTTTTCACAGCATTTTAAGTTAAAGTCTCCAAGTCACATTTAGAAGACTTTTAATTTCTGGCTGTCTCATTTAAGACATTAAGAGGCCTTTTCTTTAGGCATACATACATGAAGATATATTTAGTGCTCTTTTTTTCCATTTCACTTCTTTTACCATTTTTTATAAACCAGATAATGGAGGGAAAAAAAGAAAAGGGTTTCCGGGCTACGAGCTGCCTGGTCTATGGCCTGTGAAAAATGGGCCAAACCCTTCAGTTACAGGCTGAACAAGCTGATCCGAAATCGATCTTGGGCTCAAAACAAGCTCCAAGCTTGAGCCATACCCACCAATCCAATTTAGAAGACCACTTTTTGAAGACGATAATGTTATATTATATCGGGTTCCTTTCCAATGCATTATAAAATTAAGAAAAATTAAAAATTACTGTTGCTGCTGCTGCCGCTGCCACTGCCGCTGCCGCTGCTGCTTTTGCTTTGTTGTCAGTCACCATATTTTACGTTTTGACTAAAAGCTTGATTTAGGATGTTGCCGAAACTTAAGGTAAAAAAAGAAGAAAGAACAACTTGAGATTGCCTCGAATAATCATGCATAATGATGGAACAGCTGTTGGTGTGGCCCGTACCCACCTATCTTCTTATATTAATCACAATGAAATCCATGTCCAACCCTACTGTTACACAACATATTATATTCCAAAAGTCAAAACTACCCTTCACATAACCGATGATTTGGATAACAGAGCATGGGCAACCGTGACTTTCCACTAGTTAAAGTGGACTGGCCTCAGAAAACAAAAGACTGGGGTCTTCATGTCAGTTACGCAAGTGAAACTGACGTAGATGATAAAAGAAACAAGGAGGAGCAGTGAAGAAGACAAAGAGAAATCTGCTTTTGATGCATACATTTTCTGTGCTCTGTGGAAAAAAGAACAGTATTTTTATAGTCACCTCAATCGCTATTTTCTCCCAAAACCTCATCATCACTGTCATCACCTTTTTTTTTCTCGGCTACAATGATTAAGCAAGCAGCCCATGATGACCCCCCCAAAGAAATTAACAAATTTCGCACACTAATCTCGCTCATCACTTGTTTAACCCAAAAAGCCAAATTGAATTTGCAATGTCAATTGATTACTATAAGACACACTAATCTGGTTAGTTTAACCCCAAAAAACAGAGCCGGTCAAAAGTCCTTTGGCAAGGACACAAAACTCAGCTTATATGTTTCACCTGCTCACTGCAAACATTGTTTTAGTATATATATATAAATATCTTTCTTGATCTTTTTCCCTCCTCAAATTGATGTTCGGGGGGCACTGACACACCAAGTAGGAGAGATAGGCACACAGAGAGAGAGAGAGAGAGAGAGAGAGAGAGAGATCACCTATCAGCACAGTACCCAGTTGCTCAAAATCTAAGAAAGCTGCTCCTACTAGTTTAAGCTGTGCTGCTTACCAAGGTTGAAAGAAGTGACAAGAGCTTCTTCAACCTTTGTGGGCATTTATGATCTCGGCCTCACAGAGCCATTACATGAAGATTCTCTCTTTGGCTCTTGGAAATGGCAGCCATAGACAAACCCCACGTTCTTGTTGATGTGGAAGAAGAAGACGGGGTTCACCGCCGGAGGTCCGACGCCAGCTCAGACGGATCAGACGAGGAGGAGAGGTGTTCAAGTGAGTCTGCGTCTGAGATTGTGGAGAGGGAATCCTCTGTGTCAGAGAGTTCAGTGGATCTGGAATGTGAGGTAGCTGAGGTTAAGATGCACGTGGCAAAGGTGGAGAGGGACTGTAGGATTTGTCATCTGAGCATGGATGCAACCAATCATGAATCTGGGATTCCTATTGAGTTGGGCTGTTCTTGTAAGGCTGATTTGGCTGCTGCCCACAAGCAGTGTGCTGAGGCTTGGTTCAAAATCAAGGGTAACAAGTAAGTATATCCAACTAAGTAATAAAGATGATATCTTTCTGTGTTTTGGAACTACCCAGATGTTGGGTTTTTGCATATATGGATTTTTGGTTCATGGAACTTGATTAGTGTTAAATTTGTGTTTAGCATTTTGACACCCAATTTTTTTTTAGTAGCAATTTCAGGAGTAAAATGATATGGTGATGTGATCATAATTCATAACCAAAATGCCAGATTAATTGTTATGTTGTTCTTCTGAAGATTGTGAAATTATGGAAATAGTTTTCCGTCTCAAGGTGTTACGAATATTATTTGGGGAGATTTTGCAGACAAAGTTGTCCTACTTAATGCAAAATAAAATTAGAATAAAACCTGTACAGCTTTAGAAGAGTAAAGGAAAAGCATATTAGTGTAAATCAACAGCATCAACCTTAATAAAGCAAAAGATGAAGCACCAGCACTTGCATGGAATTCCAACTGTGCAAATATTCTTGTCTTGTTGGAACACATACACGTTGCATTTCTCTCACTGCTTTCCGACTCTTTTTCTACCTTTCCGCTTAGACATGCTGGTTGGCGATGTGTGCTTTATTGAAGTCAAATAATTTGGTTCTTGCGGATTCTTCTCATATGAGATGTTGACTGAAATCACTTTGACTCTATTCAGTAAACTTTTAATAAACATGTATCTCTGTTTTACACGCACATTTATCTTCATGATGGATGTTTTGAAAGAGGCAAGTGCTTTTACCCAGTTTCATTTTCCTGATATGGACATACTCTATGAACTTTCCAACTTCCCGGCACGTAGTGTTGTAAGATGCAGTCTTATGAATGGGTTGTCTCTGTCAGAGGCACCACAAATAAATTGGAAACTTGTAGTTCAATGGCCTGGGTCTTGGTTGGCACGTCACTGGAGAATGCTCAGCATTTTTCCTTGTATTACATAAGTGAGAGGAAATTTCTTCATTTTCATTCACCAAATGCTTATTCGATCAATTTTGTAGGTTTATATAGTTTTGGTAGAATCCATTACATGATCAAGTATGAGGAAACAATCATGTCATTAACACCAGTTTATGAACACATCAAAACTCTGGCTATTTTTTATTTAGACATTTTCCTTTGTCTGTTTTATTTGTGAATATGAATGTTTGCACAAGCTATTTTGGAAAATAATTCACGATTATGTCCCTTGCTTCCAAGTAAGCATATTTATATTCCTTTATTTTCCTCAAGCTATTCCGAGGGTTCTGTTGCATATTCTGTTCTGAAACCATAACCTAGTATTGAATTTCTTCTTTGTGTTTGAAGGTTTCCTAAGGTTGACATTTTCTTTTTCTCATTTTACCTTCCTTACTTCCCTTAAGACCAAGCCTTTAAGTTGCACGGTCCTGTAAATAAGCTTCCTTAATTCATTAATAGCCCTTTAAGGAGCCGCAAATAATCTTCCCTTCTTGTGATCAGTGATTATTTTTTCATTTTTTAGAAATTTCACTCCATATCTAATTTTGGTGAGCAACTTATATGGATAGAGAGATGTCTACTGGTACATTAATCATCCTCATTCTTGGAGTTCGCAAGCACTTTGATATGATTGTTAAAGTTAATCTTTACATGCTTTTCTGTAAACGAAAGAAAAAGATAAAGAAATTATCGTGTTCAGGTTTACAACTGAACCACCCCCTCACCCTTTCTCTCCAAAAAAAAAAAAAAAAAAAGGAAAAGGAAAAATAACTAAAATGGAAATTGCTGACGTATTACTTTCTGCTTTCACATTCCAAATTTTGTTCCTGTAATGAATCAAGTCCTTGGTATATATTTCCATGTATTAACAAGAACGGTAAACTGCAATGCTTCCTGATGACCTCATAAATTTCTAATATTTGTGCTTGGTGTGTTTCTAAAGGAAAATATGGCAGGAACTAATGTCAATCTGGCTGAGATGTTTAAAACAAGTACATACCAAAAGATAAAGATTTTACATTAGTGTATTAATGGAAGAAAAAAAAAAATTTAATTGCTTCAACTTATCCAACTTTTCTCAATCCTAATACCACTATTAAAAATGGTACTAGCTGTATCTTCTCCTTGATTTTGTGTGTGTTGTAATTGGAATACAACATTCGTGCTTTTATGCAATTATTTTTCATGTATAGGAAAACTGACATGAAGGCAATTTCAAAAGATTTTGGATAAGTTGGAAGCAACTTCCAGTATCAATATGTGATTATCTTGTTAGGCAAGTTCCCAGTCTCATATGCATGTGTCATTACTCAAACCCAAGCATTGAGCCGGGGAGACGAGTTTTTTTTCACCACACTGTACTTACTGGTGGTTCCATTTGATCTATTCATAGACTTTGAATCCACTATGGGCGTCAGATTGCTAGTTGTGGCATAAGAAATTTGACAACTTCTAATCTAAACCTTCTTATACTAGACAGAGAATGGCTTCTCACGGTAAAAACCATTTGGGATGCTGATTGGCTGGGGGCTCTATCTACCTACTTTCTTCTATCTTATCTTCGAAATAGGAAATATATTATATCCAGTAGTATCAAATTGATTTAGTTCAGATTGATTAACCTGCAGCACTTTGACAAAAACAAATGAGTTGCTTATGACACGCTTCTTTTGGGTAACATTTGCATATTTGGGTTTATGTTATGTTTGCTTAACTTCATACCACGTATACAATTGCAGGACCTGTGAGATCTGTGGATCAACTGCACGTAATGTAGCGGGTGTGACTGAAGCTGAGTTGGTGGAGCAGTGGAGTGAAACAAATGATACTGCAATGGCCACATCAGCAGCTGCCCCTGTGCAGACAGCAGAGAGCCGGAACTTCTGGCAGGGTCACCGGTTCCTGAATTTCTTGCTAGCTTGTATGGTCTTTGCTTTTGTCATCTCTTGGCTCTTTCACTTCAATGTACCCTCGTGAGAAACTGTTATAAAGTTATGCATTTATATTCGGTGATGATAGAGGGATAGCAAACAAGAACTGGGAGGTACTATCCTTATTCCCTAGGTTGGAGTTAGCTGTTTCTCTGTCTGCTTGTTGTTTATATATTAGTAAGCCAAGCTAGCTTGAGCAGGTTGTGTAATGTATGTTTTCATTTCTAAATTCAATTTGGACCACCAAAGTAGTTTCTTGTACTGTAGTAACTTCAGATGCTTTATTGGGCCAGAAAAGAGAAGCAACCAACTTATAAGATTTCTGGCAGATGCTTCACTTTTGGAATTGGCGTTTGATGTATTAAGCAGATAAGATGGATAGTGATGTAATTTAAGTTCATTCCAATGAAAGCAATGTTGTGTCTATTGATGTTGAGTTTGATGTACTGCAGGCAACTTCAAATGATTACAAGATTTCTCGTTCAAATTGAGACGGTTGCTTCAAATCATTTGACATTTTGACCGTAAGGATTTCCCGTAGGCCTTGGCTAATGGTTTGCATGTTTCTCAGACAGTTAAAAACAGTTGGTGACTGGAACAAGGCTTAATCTGACTTTGTTTGCTTAGCATATGGTTAATTGAACCTTCCCAAAGCATAAAACCTAGTGGGAGGTTCCTTATTCTGCAAATAGGCATTTGTATTGGATTTGAAGGGAAAGTTTTAAGTGGAGACCTCAAGCTACACTTTCAATTCTTGAAGCATCATGATGGAACTGGTGAAAACGTTGACTCCACCACCAGCAATTGTATGCTAGGGTGACTAGTTTAGCGTTCTTGCCATGATTGGCTATTGGAATTGAATTGACCATCCAAAATGTCAAACATGTGTTATGGTTGACATTCAAGCTGCATGCTTACTGGTTGGATTGGAATTTAGACCCCTGAAATGTGGTAAGAGTTTGACAACTTTTATACCCCTGCAAAAGTTTGGTAAGTATGCTTGCGTTGTGCTCAAACTTGGCATGCGTTAGCAAAACCGTATTAGAATTTTATGAATGGATAATACAGACGAGGAATGCTAAAGTGAGTCACACGTGATCACTTGCTAAGGTCAGTCAGTCGTGCATGATATGAAAAAAGGCTCAAGCTCACATGCAATTTCGGAAGAAATGATACTTGATAAAATGACAAACAATGTGGGTGCGTGACTACTGACAGCATTAGGCATAAACAAAGAAAGAAGAGAGAAATTGGGGGTGAAGTTCTAGTTTTAGGTGTATGCACGAGTTGCTGCAAGGAGGGTGCCGTGATTGGCGGTGACAATGTTAATAGGCCACAGACAGAGAGCTCGTGGTAGGAACTCACTCACTTTCTTTCTTTCTTTCTTATGATTGATTTTATCCATAACCATAACTTAAACTTCATTAATTTATGATAATGTCATCATTAAGTGATTGCCTCCAAAATAAAATCTCTCTCTATTTTTTTTTAACCATATTAGAACAACGTAGGTGAATAACACGGTGCGTCGGACTATTTTTTTTTTTTGAAATTAGCTACTCACACAACCATCGTCATGACAGACCCACAATTTTAAGCCGAAAAGACTTACATGTGACATCCAACCATCAGCTGTCACTAATATGAATTTATGTAGAATATTACAAATTGCGAACCAACTTACATGGACCTTTTTCTTCCGTGGTGTGTTGGACTTTTTCTTTCCTTGTATAACTGAGTTTTCAACCCACATCCAATTCATTGAAATTCTCCTTCTTTCTTTCTGTTTTTCTTTTCCTTCTTTTCAATGATTTTACTGGCAGGCACAAAAAATTTCAACTGCACCATTAGCTGGCTCATGACTTACGAATTGGACTTACACTCCATGAATCATGATCTCAAAAAAAATTATTGAAAAAAAAAAAGGAATATATAAATAAAGGGTAAAAATTCTTCTGAGCTCTGGGCATATAAAATGCATAAGAGATGCCTTTTTGTGCTTTTATATATTTTGTTCAGATATGATTCTATTTGTTAAAACATTAAAAATAAAGCAAGACAGCAATGCATATCTCTTGAACATCAGTTTTTTTGTCATCCCTTGGAATGTCTGTAACAACAACAATACTGTTACCTTACCTCGTCAGTGTCACCGCTCGAGTGGAAAAAAGGTAATCTTAAATTAATTATATAAATATAATTGTCTTCAATATTTTATAGGCTCCTGTTTCAGCAGCCATTTCCAACACGTGTCGCAACCTCGCAGCGACATTTGGTTAATCTAATGCGTATAATTCAGGAGCACGTACTGATACAGCTAATGTAATTTGTAATGCAGCAATATTGTCAAAAATTTGAGACAGAATTAGATTGAGTGTCGTCCCAAGCAATCAACCACCACCATGCTCAATTTGCAGACTCAATTAAAATGTCGGTCGCATGCTCCGGGATAGCATCCAATGAATCATAATTAATCACTTGATTATTATTAATATTGTTAATGATCTTATCTGTTTTAATGCGTAAAAGTTTTTGCGTCAGATATGCTGCTGTTAAAGGCAGCAAAGTGCCACAGCCATATGGGGACATACTCTCTTTGTCACAGCAGGAGGAGCTGCCTCTTTTGCTTTATCCTTTTGTCTCTTTTTCCTTCTTATGTGTATTGTGAATGAGCCTTGTTTACTGTATGCTGGTCAAGCTGACGCTTGGGTGGCCTAATGATGAAAGAGTGAGCACGAAGCCAGGTTTAAACTACGGACATCGAAACACCGGAGTTTTACCTAATAAGCGTATTCATATATGTTGTATTGTTCTTCATTATGGAGGTATTTAGAAAGAAGTACAATGATGTTTTAATCCTAAATATAATATGAAATAAATCTAAATTACAATAGGAAAGAAATCTCAATTATAATAAAACTAAATAAATGGGTAAGGAGCAAAATCCTAACTAAGTAAGGACTCGTCAATAATTTGCATGTATTTTGCCTTTATTCTAAAGCTCTTTTTGTATGTCAAAACTTAGTTGTTGTGTGTACAAAAAAAGAGAAGGAATGAGAAAATGAGTAACGAGCCTCATATTTGATTGGTTGAAATCAAAGTCACACTCTAGATGTAATTAATTGCTTTAACACTACTTCTACTTTAACCCAATTTTGATTCTAACATACCCGTTTTGTTTGGACGAGTAGTTTACTCCATTGGATATCAATTAATATCAATTATAAAATAAGCTAAGAACAAACCAAGTTTCAAAGAGAGAGAGAGAAAGAGAGAGGGAGAGAGAGAGTGAGCGTGCAAACACGACATAGACAAAGTGAGCCACGTTAGAATGAGAGCCATTGGTCGGTTGTTATAATGTTTAACAGCTACAGAGTGCAGAAACACCCTCCCTATCCCTCCTCCCTCCCTTTGAATCAAAGACTGAACAACAACTTCACACCCACCTTAATTCCTCTTAGTATTCTTTCCTAGTCCCACAAAGTTAGCTCTGTCTCCAACCAAAACCCAACAGTCCCAAATATATATATAGTACAATCCAATACTCTCTCCTCCTAAACTCTCCCCTTTTTCCCAATTAATATCCGCTCTGCTTTCTTCTGCTCTGCTCTGCTCTTTCTCATCATCATGAGGAAGCTTTGTCCTAATTTGGACCGTGAAGATGGGCTTGAAACCGTCCTCGAGGTCCCAATCCCGGAAGAGATGTTTGATACCGACAATAACAAGAACAACAACACCATCTCATGGCACAACATGAAGTCGTGGATGAAATCATCCAACACCGATCGATCACAGATCAACACCGTCTTTGGGAGCAAAAACTCTGAGGTCCAGCTCTTGCTTGGTGTTATTGGAGCTCCTCTCATTCCCCTTCCCATTCCTAAGGACCACCAACCCATCAACCGCACCATCAAAGACCAACCTATCGTAAGTAATTTACATATATAATCAAATTAGGATAATATTCTCTTACACCACTTATGTTACAAGATTGTGAATTTTAGTTACACGTTCAAGTAAAATTCAATATGATGGTGAAGATACAAATATTTACAGTTTGACAAGATAAGCCAAACAAGAGATTAAATTAGAGACCTTATGGACATGAAAATTTTGTTACACATGAAGTTTGCTTCTTAATAAATAATTACTTACTGGGTATTTTATGACTAATTTGTAGGAGGCTTCAATGGCTAAATACATAGTGAAGCAGTACATAGCAGCGGTGGGGGGAGAGAAGGCCTTGAACTCAGTAGAGAGCATGTATGCAATGGGGAAGGTGAAGATGGCAGCGTCAGAGTTTTCCACCGGAGAGAGGAGCTTGAACAGTAACAATAACAAGGTGAAGAGCTTGTTGAGATCAACTGGAGGTGGGGGCGAGATGGGTGGGTTTGTGCTGTGGCAGAAAAGACCTGAGCTTTGGTGCTTAGAATTGGTGGTGTCTGGTTGCAAAATCAGTGCAGGAAGCAACGGGAAAGTGGCTTGGCGCCAAACTCCATGGCACCACTCTCATGCCTCTCGAGGCCCTCCTCGTCCTCTCAGGCGTCTCCTTCAGGTACCACCCCCCGCACCTATCCTTCTCGATAGTTATTTATTTATTTAATAATTTTTGGTGAATCACCATTAGAGAACTCATCTAGATGATTAAATTTGGCAAAATCATGGGCATTTGGGAATTTTTGTCACTCACTTTGAAGGTGATCATGTGCTTTTGGTGGTGGGCTTCCTTTAATGAGTGTTTTTTGTGTTGAGAGAAACTCTCAGGGATAATACTTTTTGTTATACCTAGCTAATAACAAAATGACGCGCATGATAACTTTTTTATATATAATTATGTTATTAATCGAATAGCAAAATAGTGATATTCTATTACAACCGGTCTAATAACAAAGCCTCCTTCATTATAAACTATCGTTAATATCCCTCATTACACCCTCTCGGTCTAGAAAAGATAAAGCTACGCAGAGTGTCTCTTTTGGGTTCTTTTGACTTGGCCTTAGGAAGCCCTGACTTCTATGTTGGTCTGTCCCCATCAAATTATATGGCCCACATTGCACGTTTGTGGGGCACTCTCTACCGAATAGGCTTTGAGAAAAAGTCACAACAAGATCAATGTATATAAAAATATTTTTGGTTTTAAATATGCGCAAAATACTCATAGTATTGTTGTACTGAACAGGGTCTTGATCCAAGGTCAACAGCCAACTTATTCAGCAACGCAGTTTGCATCGGCGAGAAAGCAATCAACGACGAAGACTGCTTCATCCTCAAGCTGGAAGCCGATCCCTCAAACCTAAGAGCACGAAGCAGCAACAACGTGGAAATAATAAGGCACTCAGTGTGTGGCTACTTCAGCCAAAGAACAGGCCTCCTCGTCCAGCTAGAAGATTCTCACCTCCTCAAAATCATACCCCCCTCAGGAACCGACAGCGGCATTTTCTGGGAGACCACCATGGAGTCTTACGTCCGAGACTACAGAACCGTGGACGGCATCAACATCGCGCACGGGGGCAGGACGTCTGTCTCCTTGTTCAGGTTCGGCGAGAGCTCAGAAACGCATTCCAGGACGAGAATGGAGGAGGTTTGGGAGATTGAGGAGGTTGATTTTAACATCAAGGGCTTGTCCATGGACTGCTTCTTGCCTCCTGGTGACCTAAAGAAGGAGGAAGAAGAAGCAAAATGTGGCGCCAATGCCATGGTGATCAGTGCTCATTCAAAAATGCCGTTTAAAATTCGATCTGCTTCTTGGAGAATCAGTGCTTCTAAAGTTGTTGCATTAGATGATGATGTTGAATATGATCCGGACTATAGTGAAAGCAGCAGCGACCAAGAATTGTAAAATTTCGGATTCAATTTTTGTACATAGCACAATTACTAAGTTTAGATATGTCGCCTGTCACACTTTTTAATAAAATTGGATTGTGGCATGGGCTTGGCCGGGCCATAATGATATTTTTGACAAAATCCATTGACCTATTATGTTATTTATGGTTCTTGTTGTTTTTCTAATTTTTCACTTTAGTTTAACTATCATTAGCCCATTGGGCTTAATGATATTTTTGACAAAACCCATTGACCTATTATGTTATTTAGGCAAAGGTAAACTTTAGGTTAACTATCATTAGCCCATTGGGCTTAATGATATTTTTGACAAAACCCATTGACCTATTATGTTGTTTAGGAAAAAGCAAATTATTACCTTTCGCTGTTTTTCTGACTTTTCACATTAATTTAATATGTGGTTTCAATTTTAACACGTAATTTATCACTTTGGTTGGTTTATGTGGTTTCAATTTTGACACGTAATTTATTATTTGTGATTTCAATTCTGATAATTTGACGTATGTTGTTTAACTATCAGTCCTAATTTCTCTTCAATTTATTGATGAAAAAAGAACATGCCTTATATGAAAGTATTTTGAACGAAATTATAGATGCGTGATTCAATTCACTTGTAGACTGATCTCAATAGGCCCACTTGTCAAGGATCCTAACACATACCCGGCCCCAAACTTGCCATCCCTAAACCATTCTTAAACGCGAGAGTGGATCAGGTGAAGGCTGGGATGGAAAATGGCGTGCTCTTCACAGTTGCCTAAGGAGGAGGCCAAGAAGGTCGATATCAGGTCCATTGAGATTTCTGGTTAATTTAATTTAGTTTAATTAAGTAACTAATTAAGCTTTTCTGTATGGTATTATGGTCCCGCCGTGAGTAAATAAATGTAGCTTAAATTGGGTATTTTGGACCGTCCTGCTATGTAATGTACTCGTTTTAATCCAAAATTAAGCAATAATTTTAACAAGCAAACAAAATAAAATTTTATTATATTTCAGAACAAGAAACCGTACATGAAAAATAGCACACAGTCACTCAACTCTCACAGACAGACACAGAAACTTAAAATACAAGCAACAAAACACAAGAGATTAACAAAACAAACCACGCTTATATAACATAATTACGATTTAGCTCAAAGGGGAGGTGGAGTTGAGTTGATTGAGGTTGAGGAGGATTTAGTTTAGCCAGATATGTCAATGGCCTTGACCTGTGGCCGCTTCTCCTCCTCCTTGGGCACAGTCACGGTGAGAACCCCATTCTCCATGCTAGCTTTGACCTGATCAATTTTCGCATTCTCCGGCAACCTGAACATCCTCGAAAACTTGCCGGTGCTCCTCTCAATCCTGTGCCATTTGTCGTTCTTCTCCTCCTGCTCTCTCCTCCTCTCTCCGCTGATCTGAAGCACCTTCCCGTCATCAACCTCAACTTTCACTTCCTCCTTTTTCAACCCCGGGAGGTCAGCTATGAAGATGTGGGCTTCTGGGGTCTCTTTCCAGTCAATGCGAGTGCTGGCGATGGCAGTCGTTTCGCGAGCAGAGGGTGGGATGTTGGCCAGAGTGCCAAGGCCCTCAAAGGGGTCCCAGATGTCAAGAGAAAACGGATCGAAGACGTTGCTTCGTCGGCCACCAAAGATGCTGAGAGCCATTTGGGTTGAGAGATTTGGGTTGCTTTGAGTGAAGGGTATTAAGCTTTGGACGATTGATTCTATCTGATAAGGATGGTGTGGAGTGAGATATATATATATATATATATATATAGGGTGACAAAGAAGGTTCAGGCACCTTCATGGTTCTTTTAGATCTACAATAATAATTCCAATCTAAAACAGAGAGTTCTGTAGTTATCCAAAATAAGAACAAAAAACCAGAGACTTCTATAAACTTCTACCGACTTCTACAAACATGCAGAGCCTCTACGTGTCCTGCGGCAAACCCTGGTGTCAATTTCGATTCTTTCCAACCCAAAACAAAAGCCCGGTGTTCTTTTTCATCTCCAAGAGTTGGGTTGGTTTTGGTTGGGTTGGGCTTTACAAAAAGTTGGGTTAATTCTATTTCAGAGACCATGCCACATAAATTTTACATGCTTCAAGAAATCAGCTCAAAATGTGTAAATGTGGTTGTTCAGAGATGTTGATCACAAGTCCTGCATGGCACAGTTCAGAATTGGTAAATATAAGATGCATGGGAGCACGTAGTTCCAGACCTCATAGTTTATAAGTTTTCAATGGAATTGGATCAAAGATCAAGTGGTCCTCATGTTCTCATCTTCCCTTTGCCATTGCAAAGTCATGTCACTACAACGCTCGAGTTTGGAGAGCTACTCTGCCTTGCCAACTTCCACATTACCTTCCTCAATTCCCACTTTGTTCATAATCGCCTTCTTCGTCACACCAACATTCAATCCCACTTCGCACGATATCCCAGATTTCGTTTCGACACCATCACCGACAGTCTACCAGATGACCACCCACGTTCTTGTGCTCGATATGCTAGAGATGGTTGATTCTGTAAGTTGTGTGACCAAACCACTATTCAGAGAAATGGTGCTTTCTGCTCAATTGGGCTTTGGACTCTTGGCCTGTGTTGTGGTTGATGGGATCATGAACTTTGCAACTGACATTGCCAAAGAGATTGGACTTATGAGCATCTCTTTCCGTACCATAAGTGCTTCTTGCTACTGGTCTTATTTTTGTATCCCAAAACTCATTGAAGCCAGTGAGCTTCCCTTCAAAGGTAACACATATATTACATACATATAATCCTATAGTTTAGTCCCATGTAATATATTTACATTTGATCTATGAAGTTTGTTAATAGCTCATACTATCACTGTAAGCCGAGCCCCTCGGAAGACACCTCTTATACCGAGCTGAGCGTATATGACTACGACAAAGAACTCCTCAGGGAGAATGTGACAGATCATAATGAGACCAGTGATTGGGTGTTCAAAGACCGACCCGACCACTATGACACCATGTCTTAGCTAGAGATGCATTAAATAAAACAGCCTGGCAGACAGGAAAGGTCGGTTGATGCGCATCCCATCCTTAAGTAGGTGTCGCCTTACCCTTCGATCTCTGAGAAAACATGTTGGTGATAGAAAGAGAACATTTAATACACCTCACATTCTTGTTCACCTGTCACTTCGCCACCTGACCCCTGTCACAAAGTAGAGTGATCAAAAACAGAGCATTAAATGTGATTCAAACTTAAGGGAATAAAGAAAAGATCTATCCCATAAAATATCTGGATCTCTCATTCTTCCCCCTATAAATACCCCACCTATCTCTGGACAAAGGGAATAAATCCTCTCATGATAAAAACCCTACATCCATTCTCTCTCCAGCTCAAGTTAGTTTCTGACTTAATCATCGAAGAGGGTTAGACTGGGATCAACCCCAGTCCGCCCTTATTCTGATATCGTTTAAAGTGTGCAGATTTTCCTTTGGAGATACTCAAAGGTCCAGTACCGGCCCAAACCCCAGATAGGGCCCGAGTCATCTATACGAGAAGGATACGCGGTTAACAAAGTTATGAACAGTCAATTTATTTGAACATGTTTTTAGAAAGCGAAATGGATATTCTGATAACATATGTGCCAGGAATGGAAGACTTTTTGTGGCGGCGGGACCTCCTAGGGTACATGGTGGGTTGGGCACCACAAGAGGAGGTCTTGAAGCACCAGGCCATTGGTGGGTTCTGGACACACAGTGGTTGGAAAATATTGGAGAGCATAGTCGCTGGGGTGCCAATGATGTGTTGGTCTTATTTTGCTGATCAAATGGTGAACAGCAGGCTTGTGAGTGAGGTGTGGAAGCGGGGATTTGACATGAAAGATAGGTGTGACAGAGTGATCCTTGAGAAAGTGATTAGGGATTTGATGGGGGGAGAGGAAGGTTGAGTTTATGAAATCAGCAACAGAGATGGCAGATTTGGCAAGAGCAAGTGTGAATCAAGGTGGTTCTTCTTATTGCAGTTTAGACCGTCTGTTTAGAAAACAGAATACTCAAAATGCCAGGATCAACAACGCAGCTTCTCAATGCTCAAGCAGCCAAAATGATCTCACATAAAACTCAGAAAGAATAGAGAGAAAAAGCTGAAGCTATCTCACAGATGAGTTCACATTCAATAATAATGTTTTTGCTACAACTCTCATTACAAAATAGAGACAACGTCTCTTCGAGAGACAGAGACTTTTCAGCAAAAAGAGAGAGAAGTTGCCTAGAGACATCAACCGACAGCATGCCTCATAGAGTAATACAAAATTAGCTCATTTAGCCAATAAACAAAGCATATCCAGCCGACAACATGCTCTCATGCTTTCACAAAATGGATAAAATATTAAAACTTGGCTTTGGATTCGTTTGGCTCGGTTTAACTTTCAACAGTCTGATTGACGACATTCGAAGGAGGAGCCTGCAACAAGCCTCTACTTGCGAACTTCTATAAACAAGGCCAAGATGATCAGTTTTTGCTTAAGAGAAGAACATAATGCATAAATCAAAAGCTTGGCTGTAATAGAAATCATGTAGTACAAAATGGAGTAGAAATGATATTATAGTTGGAAATCTACATAGTGGTTATTAGATAATCTAGTTCAATAACCCAAACACCAAATTGTGGATTCACCGACTCTGAGTTCGAAAAACAAATGGTTCTAATGACAAAATGTGTTTAACCAATCCATCCAAGGATTGGCATGACGAGCCACCTTGTTTGAAGCAAAGATTTGCCTTCTCCATCAGCTTTAAGGCTCTGTCTCTGATCTCTTCCCCTTCTTTCTCCAACATTAGTTTTCTTATTGTTTTCTCAATCATAAATCTCTCCATCCCATCTTCTAACTGCAAACCAACCTTCCAAACATCACTTGCATATCTTGCATTCACCAATTGATCAGTGAAACATGGCATGCAAATCATAGGGACCCCCTCACAAACACTCTCCAATGTAGAATTCCAACCATTGTGAGTCCAAAAGGCTCCAACTGCTGGATGAGCCAGTACTTGTTTCTGTGGAGCCCATTGCACAATGTGACCCCTCCCATTCAAACTCTCAACAAACCCACTGGGAAATGGTTCTGATCCATGGACGAATCCGGGTCGAACCACCCACAAAAAGGGCTGGTTGCTGTTGGCTAGCCCCCAAGCTATCTCCAAAAACTGAGCTTCCTTTATTGCAGCAAGGCTCCCAAAGCTAACATACACAACAGACTTTGGTGCTTGAGTGTTTAGCCATGGAATGCAACTCTGGTCTTCTGATAATAAGCCACTAGAAGAAGAAGAGGCTGCAGGGAAAAACTTGTGAAATGGACCTATTGGGAAAATTGGAACATTGGAAATCTTTTGGCTTATTGTGGCCAGTGCATGTTGTTCAAGGTGTTCAAAAGTATTAAAGATGAGCCCACATGAGGCTTTGGCTCCATTTGACAGGCCGGCTACTAGCTGATTATAATCCTCTGAGGCACACCTGTTGATCAAAGGAAGGTCTTTGATTTTGAGAGGTGGAAACTCTGTCACCGGCTCTTCTAGTCGAGACTCTAATGCCAAAATAGAAAGGAGGGTAAATATTTTAGTTGTCAATGATTTAGATGAGCTCAACATTAGGTAATAGCAATTATGTGGTACCAAATTTTCCTAATCTAAATCTAATACCTACCAATTACCAAGAAGGAAGGAAAACCAAACCTTGTATGGGGAGGTAACCTTTTTCCCTCAGAAGTGGAAATGCAGCAAAAACAGCAAAGGAAGCAGCGCCCCCGGTTCTTAGCACAAGCCTTGGGAGTTTAAGGCTGTGAGCAACAGATTCAGTGAAGACATGGAGAACATCAGAGATCAAGCAAGCAACAGGCTCCTCTGAAACATCAGACAACAAGCTAGACAAGCACTCCCTCAAAGGCTCAACACATTTAGCATTTAGAAGGGAGAGAAGAAGGACAAGATCCTTTGTTGAGGCTTCACTTTCAGATAAGCCATCAGGGATTGAGTGGAAGGTGAAGTGTGGATGGGTTGATGGGTTGAGAGAGTTGAAGGTTGTGTGGATGATGGTTATGGAGAAGCCTTTCAGGTGCAGAAGATTGGCCAGCTCAAGCATGGGGTTTATGTGGCCTTGCAAGGGCAGTGGAAAGAGTATCAATCTCCTGTCCTTTCTTTGTTCCATGACTGCAACTTTTTTTTTTTGTTTTTTTTGCCCGTCTAGGTTTCCGTACGCCCTCCCCCCCGACATTTTCAGGCACAACACAACAACATTTTATGATACAAAATATGGAAATTACCAGCCTAAATTATTTCGAATGTCAAAATTACCACGCTGAATTAATTTTTCAGCTAATTTAGTTCCCTTATTAAATTTATTCTCCAATTTCGCCCATGACGTTAGTTTTTTCACAATTACATCCAAATGCCCGTCAAATATAAGGGTAAATTTGGCATTTTACAAGGTACAGTATTAAGAAAAATAAGGAAAATGTAAAAAAAATCCCCAACCACCACCTCCAATTCCCTTCCCTCCCCCCCCCCCCCCACACTCT